AACCCTGTTTCTACTAAAAATATGAAAATTAGCTGGGTGTGGTGGTGGGTGCCTGTAATCCCAGCTACTCAGGAGGCTGAGGTGAGAGAATCGCTTGAGCCCGGGGGGGCGGAGGTTGCAGTGAGCTGAGATTGTGCCATTGTACTCCAGCCTGGGCAACAGAGCAAGACTCTGTCTCAAAAGTAAACAAAACAAAACAAAACAAAACAAAAATAACTGCTTCCCTGGACCACCTATTGTCTCCCCAAATCCTCTTTGCTCCTGTGGTTCCCTTTGCCTGTTGGGACTTTTATTGTATTAAATTGGCCAACTCTTCCTGTTTATCTTCCAAACTTCTATTACAGTTTGATCATCTGCTCTATGCTATTGTCTTTGGCTGTCTTGGGTGGGATTAATTACCCATTCTTCCTCTGATGTCCCACGGTTCTCTGCATAGACCTATAGCACAGCTTACCCTACAGAGCCTACCTCTAGACCCTACCTATGGATCCCATATAGCCTATCTATCAACCTGTACCCATAGCCTACCTACCACTTAGCCCTTTTCACACTTAGTTGCTTTTATGTCTCTCTCCAGTTCTACCTTGAGAGGGCCTCAAAGTCAAGGTCTGGGCTTTGCTCATTGCATCTCCAGACCAGAGGCCTGCATAGTGCAGAGCTTCCATAAATCTCTAATGTGTGCACACGTGAATGAATAAAAGCCACACTGCATTTCAAAGTCAGAGAAAAATGATTTGGATAACTTTCCCAGTCGCCTGAGTTCGTCTGTCAATACTCCTCAGCTTTATTGTGGGTAATTTACTGTGGCAATAATATGACCCCCGCATACCTCCGAGACGGAGCTCAGCTTCAAGTTGTGAGTCTGTGTTTTCTCCATCGTGATGGCCTTGTTTTCTTTCTCTCTCCCTTTGCTCCCAGCCTGAAGATAAGCAGAAGGCGGCAGCTGCCTTTGCCCAGCTCCAGGGTGCCATGGAGACGCTGGGCATCTCAGAGAGCGAGCAGCGGGCCATTTGGCGGGTCCTGGCAGCCATCTACCACCTGGGCGCGGCGGGGGCCTGCAAAGGTACGTCCTTCCTGCCGAGCTCACCTGAGAGGCCAGCTGTCTCCTTTGGCAGGCGCCTGACAAGGCCCCTCTCTTGGAGAGGTGGGAACAGGGTCAATCTGTCACATTCTGTGTCTCTGGGACTGCTCTCGGGGAGGCTGCTGAAACTAGGCGTCGTGAGGTGGACACAAGGCTGGCGTTTCAAGCAAACCTTCTAGACCAGCGCTGTCCACAAGAACTTTCTGCAGTGATGGAGATTACTGCTGTTCAGTGCAGTAACCACTAGCCACAGGCCGCCACTGAACACTTGAAATACACTAGTGTGACTGAGGAATTGAATTTTTAATCGTATTGAATTCTACTTAATTTAAATTTAAGTAGTCATAGGTAGGGAGTGGCTACTGTACTGGCAGTACGGTAGAGCAGCTCTAGAATATGGAAGGGAAGGTTGGGTCTGTGCAGTAAAGGTTCTGTGTTTCTTTTTATTTTTTAAATTTGTATGCTTTGTGACAGGGTCTTGCTTTGTCATTTAGGCTGGGCAGTTGTGGTGCGATCATAGCTCACTGCAGTTTCCACCTCCTGGGCTCAAGCAATCCTCCTGCCTCAGCCTCCTGAGTAGCTGGGACTACAGGTGTGCACCACCATGCCTGGTTCATATATTTTTTTTATTTTTTGTAGAGACAGGGGTCTCACTTTTTTGCCCAGGCTGGTCTCGAACTCCTAGGCTCAAGCAGTCTTCCTGCCTTGATCTCCCAAAGTGGTGGGATTACAGGCATGAGCCACTGCACCCAGCCAAGGTGCTGCGTTTCTAGCTAGACATCTTGGAGATGCCCTGAAACTGATCTTGTATCCTTATCCCATCCTTAAGTGTCTGCTTGCTGATTTTCCCTATTTTGACCTGGTCTTCCAAGTGGTTCCTGCCATCCCCCCAGTCCTTACCCTCTCCCTATCCAATCATTCACCATGTTCCAGAGATAGTCTCTGTGACATCATTTCTGTCCTAGTTTCTCTGTCCTTACTGTTATCACCTTACACGCGGTGTTTACCTTTGTGCGTGTGTGTGTGCTTGGATGGGTGCAGTAGCCTCCTTGCTGATGCCTTCATTCCTCCTTCTACCCATTCTCATCATGACCATCAGGTTCCTTTCTACTACATAGACCCATACTCCTGCTTAGAATCCTCCTGAGGCTTTTCCTTGCCTCTAAATCAAACAAAATTCCTTGGCTTGGCATTCAAAGCTCCTCACCTCCCTAACCTGTCTCTTCTACTCCCTCTTTTGGCAATATATAAGGTTCTAGGGAGAGAGTGAGGATGAAAAGCAAGGGTTTCTGCCTTCATGGGGCCTTTGATGCCTTGTATTATGGTTGTGACTTTGTCTAGCTCTTTTCAGTGGCTGGTGGCTTCCTTTGGGTCCAGAACATAGAACTAGAAGTTGCTTATTGAATGAACACCCGTGTGA